TAATGACATAACAGAAAATTCAGAATTGTATAACTGTGAATTCATAATCTCATATTAGAAAGTTCATAATCATATAACAGAAAATACATAATGACATAACAGAAAATTCGGAATTTTATAATGTAAATTCATAATTTTTATCCCCTTTTGAATACACAGAATAAATGACTAAACATACCAAAATATGATACTGTACGCAATGAACAAAGTAAATAATAACATACCTTGTCCAATAAACTTCAAACTCAGCTTCAGTCTCGGTGTATTTCAACACACAATTGAACATATCCAGAAAATCCTTATGATTCCTTAATGCCTTGATATGCTTCTTCGAATTCTCACCAATATGCCATATGCAAAGACGGTGGCGTGATGTAGGAAACACCATAGAAATGCCAGCAGCCATAGCTGAACATTGATCCGTCATGATAGTCTGTGGACACTTGCCATCCATGGATCTTAAAAACGCTTTAAACAACCACGCAAATGACTCTATCCTCTCATTCATCAAAAACCCACATCCAAACATTACATTCATGCAATGATGGTTCATCCCTACAAAAGGACCACAAATCATAGCATATTTGTTAGTGCGATATGTTGTATCATGCACTAACAAATCACCGAACACCTCATAATCCTTTCTCATTTGACCATCCCTCCAAAAAAAACTACACAATCTTCCATCCAAATCAACTTCAAAATCAAAAAAGAAATCAGCCTCATTAGATTGCCTCCTCTTGAATATTTCAATCAAAGAATTGAAATCAGTTCCATCCAAACACTTCAAACTCTCAGAAGCCATCGAATTGTAAGCATCGCGGTTGGTAAAGCCAACCAATGGAGAACCCCCTGACTGATGTTTCAAAAACCTCATACCATCCGCCAATGCAACACCACTATTCTTCATATCTTTTAAATATTCAAGATGATTATTTCCCACTCTTCTATGCGAACGGAGCAGATGACTCTTGCCAAATGAACATAACTCATGATTGTGCTCTTTCACATGTTTTGTAACTGCCACATCCCATCACCCCCCACATCAAACTGAACAAGTGCACCACAACCAGTCCTTGTATCAATTTTTGAATAAAGCTTAACACCACTATTTGGTTTCTCCTTATACCCAGCCTTAGCACAGAAGAACCTCTTCATCTGAATTGACTTAGTAGATGCCTTATAACGTTGTTGGCCTTTCCTCACACTAAAACCCACTCTGTATGCATATCCATTATATAACTCAAAAGCTTTATCACCATTGCTTACTACAACACCAACCAAGTCTTCATCAACTGCAATTGCAACAAAAATATAACCACACCTATACCAACTACTAAAATATGAATGTGCAGTTCACCTATAATGAATATAATATGCTACAATAGAAAATTCATAATCCCACAGAATGAAATTCATAATATCATATCAGAAAGTTCATAACAGAGACAGTATCAATAACATTTGTGACATTATGGACATTCAAAGCTGCATAGATAGTGAATAATATCATAACAGAAATAAGTTTGATGGAAATATATTCTTCATTTAAGTAGAGGGGAAACGGGGAATGCCGAATAAATCCAGCCATGCTCTACATAAGAAGAACATATTGTCCATCAATAACAGATACACATAATTCATATGCTCATAGCATAAAATTCATAATCTCATAACATAAAATTCATAATCTCATATAGAAAATTCATAACAACATAACAGAAAATTCATAACCTCAAAACTGTAAATTCATAACATGAACAGAGTATTAATACCAATCACAACATTACTGACATTCAAATTGCATATAATCACCATGAATCAGTACCTACAACTACCAGAAACCACATTCATGATACACAAACTAATAAAAAGAACCTGGACTTGAAGACGAGCCAGCAATGTCAATGTTTAACTCTGCTTGATCAGTGCTTATTGAATCACCAACAAAGTCTTCATTCACTGAGTATATGCAAACAGTGTAACATACCAGTTAATATGTTATGAACATAGTACTATTATATTATGAATATTCATACCACATGCATGAACAGAGTATCAAAATTCATAATTGCGTAACAGAAAATACATAATCTCATATTGTAAAATTCATAACAGGAACATGGTACTAATACACAATTACGACATTGTGAACATTCAAACTGCATAGATACTGAACAAATACCAATAAAAACAACTAAATCTGATCTTCAACATGCTATATCTCATAAATCAAACGAAATCAAACGCATAAAATCGAACGAACCTGGAATCGCAGAAATCATATCGGTGGAATCTTCTCCTCGAACCGCTGTCTCCTCCATCGCAAATAGGAAAGAATCGCGAATGTCGCATCGAATCAACCGCAAAGAATTGTGAAACTGCCAAATCAAAACTGCCTTCAAACTCGGTGTTAACGCCGTTAATAGAACAGTGTATTATTTTTTTTTTTTTAAAAAGACACCAAAAACGACGTCGTTTGGAAGCGTGTTCACCAAGCATGGTGAACACGTTTCCACGGCATAATTTGCGGGGCAGACATGCCCCGGACCGGCCCGGTTAACTATCATTTAATAATATCAATTGCTCATTGGATATGACATTTCATACAATGCACATGCCTATGACTAGTAAATGACTAGTAACCCGCATGGGTAGCTCAATTGGTCACAGAGATGAAACTTTAGAAGAATGACCAGGGATCGAGTCTCACCAGCGGCAGTGTGGGAGGTACGGATACCATTAGAGTTAGTCAATCTAATTTTTCAGTCATATGAGTTGTCGTGAAGTAATGTGAAGTTTGCTATAGATGATTGTACAAGTGAAAGGGTGCCGAGGAAACATACAAAATTTTGAATTAAGAGTAAGCTTGCGCCTTGTGCCTTTATTCATCCCCAACCCTTTGTCCATTTTTAATAGAACAAATTGCACTTTTGGTCCTGTGAGTAGTATGGTACTGGCAATTTGAGTACGTGACTTTCAAAACTCCCAATTTAAACCTTTAACTATGCAAAAATTGGCAGATTTGGTCCTCCGGGCCAAATTGCCTGCCAATTTTGGCCGGAAAAACATAAATTGGTTCGAATTTATTTGTGTTGAGGGCAAAATCGTCATTTCACTCCCTTCTTCTTCATTCTCCCTTTTTTCTTCTTCTTTCTTCTTCTTCTTCTTCTTCTTTCTTTCTTCTGTCGTGCCTTATATATTTCATATTCCATGGACTGCCCCCAAGGAAAATTAAGCCATGATCTCAGCGTACTTAGATCCGTTAAATCATGAGTTGGAAGTTGTACTGCACGGCTAATCTGGTCGATTAAGTAAGATTGGACTGGGTCAAGCCGTACAGAGCACACATCACAAACTCGTTGCAGGTTCGAGGTGCGAAACGATGCAGGCAACAACATCCGTCCTTTAGAACACCCGTTGCAAAATATCCCTCCACAAAACCTGCAATGGTGCCTAGAACGCAATTGCATTGGGTCATGCAATTTGAGTCGGTAAAAAAAACTGTCCACCGGGAAATCAAGGTCACCGGCGTCGAGCTGCCGCAGGAGCGACAGCGCCAGCTCGACGAGTTCTCCAGGACCATCTCCACCGACATTCTGGTCAAGATCGAAGAATGGATGGAACTCCATAAGAGAATGAGGATATACGAACTGGGTTCACTGCCGCCCTTCCTGCTAGTCTTCGCCGGAAAAATAGCGCCGGTGGATCACCGGTGGAACCAACACGGGCTCGGCGGGGACAACTTTCGCGGGCTCTGCCGGGATCTGCATCCGGGTCCGGTGAGCCTCCTGCATTGGAGCGGGAAAGGGAAGCCATGGGTGAGATTGGATGCTAGTCGGCCATGCCCGTTGGATGCTCTCTGGGCTCCATATGATCTGTTAAAGCCTCAATTTTCTTTCGATTCTTGAATTTTCTTGGATAACAGAGAAGCCGCCGGAGCGCCACCGGAGACGGAAACTTCCACTATAACGCCGTTAACTTTGAGTCTCAAAAATTTCATCAGTACTGTATAGATGAAGAAGGTTGAATGAAGAAGATATAACATCAACTCCATGGCTTCATCAAAGGCCTTGAGAGCATCGGCAGTAGACTCACAGTAGCCCTTTCACTGTGCGGATCCGGGATGAAGAAGAAGAAGAACGAAGAAGAAAGGGAGAATGAAGAAGAAGGGAGTGAAATGACGTTTTTACCCTCATCACAAAATAATTCGAAGCATTAAATTATTTTCCGGCCAAAATTGGCCGGCAATTTGGTCCGGAGGACCAAATCTGCCAAAAAATGCATAGTTAAAGGTTTAAATTTGGAGTTTTGAAAGTCACGTACTCAAATTGCCAGTACTCTAATACTCACAGGACCAAAAGTGCAATTTGTTCATTTTTAATACCATACCCACCAAAGGAGAAATCCCTCTTTTTATGACCCCACATCTTACTCCAAAAGAAATTCTAAACGTGATAAATCACAATAACTTAGTGACTAATTAAATGAGAGGAGTAAAGACTAGCTGCCAGGACTAAATCTTGCGCCTTTGGCCACAATTTGCAGGGAACCAACACTTATAGCTGCGAACTTAATCTTGTATCTTTGGTCACAATCTAAACTACCCAGACTGTGCAGGCTCCATTTTAATACCCATTCCACTTTCATCACGATGATAAAAGACTTCATAATTTAATTTTACTTTTTGTATTATTTAATTAAGTTTTAGTAAATTAAATCTTAAGTCAAATTTAAAAATCACAAGAAAAAAGTGTTAAACCACTACACAACCACTAGGAAAAAAAACACTAATTTGCAAATTAATTGGTTATAATAAATAAATAAATAAACTAAAAATTAAACGGAAAATGTTCAACTTCTCCTACAAGAGTTATAGAGAATAGAATATAAATAAGGCAATTAGCATTAAAGAAACAAAGCCAGCATCCAACTACGTTCAAATCAGAGTAGCATCACTAGGGACTCGTAGTTTATACAGTTTGGGGTTCCAGATTTAATTTGGTGCTAAAACTTAGCCCACTGTCCAACAAATTTTGAATGAACAACCCCTAGAATGTAATTTTTAACCCCAACCCAAAAAAAAAAAAAAAAAAAAAAAAAAAAAAAATGATCATAGGTTTTACATGCTCAACAGTCAACAGTAAGATGAAGCCATCCATAGTTTTACATGCCAACAGCAAAATGAAGCCATAGTTTTACATGCTCTACAGTAAAATAAGCGATAATCCATTGATTAGGAAGAAGACAGTATCCAGGTTAGCACCTCCTTCAGCCATCTGCAAATTTTTTTGAGTGTTGCCTTCAGCATATGCGTTTCTCTCAAACTGCTGAAATAAACTGCTGAAATTAAAGAGAAATAATCATAACTTAGACGAGTGTTAACTACCAGATTACACTAATTTCACAACTCCCAACAACATAATATTTTGAAACCCAACAGAAAATGCACCAGAGCATAGCAGTTTCTCTAACCATTGAGATTTTACCTCAGTTGGACAGTTGCCCAACTTGTTTCTCTCATTTTATGTAAATGCTACACTCAAACCCATGGGACACAAATTGAATGAGGATAGCTCACAGGAACAGTATGACAAATTTCACAGGAAAGATATGTCTATCACTAAACATGAAAGTGGAATGTTGAAATTAAATCACTCAAAACCTGGGGGAAATGGCTTGATATATGAAGCAGTTGCATGGGTATGCAAAAATAAAACGCATTTATAGAATCTGAAAACTTCACAATTCATTTTTTAACCAAAAGAAAAAAAGTATATATATTTTCATGAAAACATAAACTAGGCTTGAGCTATCATTTAATCACTCTAAGCTCAAAGTCTCAACCAACCAAAAAGACTCACCTGGTAGGCCTTGAACATAATGATAGGCAAGAGCTCAAAGTCAACCAGCTGCTTCACGTGTTCTCCTCAAACTTGAGAAACTATAATAGTGGAATTTTCCATATAAAACACCTAATTAAGACACCAGATATCTTGCCTTAGCCATGAAGATGCTTACGTAGGCTAGGCTCCTCATGCCTCTCTTGATTCTCTATCTGATCACGACAATCAGTACAAAGATTTTCCAGACAAAATGTTTCTTCATATGGACCATCATTGATGCACTTGCCACATTGTACACACCTTGCAATGCAAAGGGTGCATGCCCGGCATCCTTGAGTAGCACGATCTTTCACTTGACATCCTTCTGAAGGGCAATCATACACCAACCTCATTTTTTCACACCTTGGGCATACTTCAATATCGATAGGACAATCATCATCACACAAGCGATAAACACTCCCCCTCAAATAAAATTGTGGCTTGGGATCATTTTGCTCCTTGAGGCTCTCTGCGCCTAACAAGGACTTTAACCCTTCATAATGTTCATGAGTCACACCGTAAAGGCCACCAATTCTTAGGTGTCTTATACCAATGCCCTTCTTAGAATTAAAAGCCCTCAAAATATTCATAATGCCCTCAATGCTTAGTCTTGTACATCCAGGAACACACAGCTGCAAGAAGCAATAGTGTTATAACCCTAATCAACATTTTACTATGTAGATGTTAAACACACACAAAAAAAATGTTAGCTAAACAAATAGTATGAAAAAACATGGCAAATGAAATAAACTCTATGAGGGAGCACAAAGGCAAAGAAGCATGCTAAGTTCATCTTTATCTTCATAAAGTAGCAATATACCTTCTCAAGATAAGGGAGTTAGTTCCATAGTAATTGTAATACTATCCTTGGTGATACTCCATAGTTGATGACCACAAATATATTATCTAATACACTAAAGACAAGCATAACATTAAAGCATTCTTTAGATCAAGAGTTGGCCTCATATGTTTTACAAGAAACTGACAGTCTGAAACCAATCCCAAAGACGAATATAGGTATGTGAACCCAAATCTCGACTATACTCAAAATTATATGAGCTGGTTTTAAGCTGTATTGTCTTGTATGGTTATTTAAAGTGTTTGTGCGTGTATTTTATATATATATAAGAAGAGCAACCAGCCAACCACAAGTGTTAACAATCATAGATTCAGAAGTTCCCAAAAGTGTATTGATGTCCTATTCACTATGATAGTAAATAAAGTTAAGAAAAAGAAAAGAAGATTTTCCAAAATATAACTTATACAATCCCATCATCCATTCCTCCCCTACCTCAAATAAAAGGAATATAAGTCATTAGAAACTAGAAGATCATTGAAGCACACTGGACAAACATTTAACTATTTAAGAAATACCCACCACAATAGATTAGTCCAAATGAGTGATAATCACTATGAAACAGGGCACACAAATAATAATTGAAGTAAAAAAAAAATACTTGTTAGCAAAAAATTAAAAAAAAAAATGCAGACCTTTGTCAAGTGTGGATTAGCTTCAAGTACACGCCTCAGGCCATCATCAGTGATCTTGGGACACTCAACCAAGCTTAGGCATTCCATGCTACCTTGAGCCCTGCTAGTTAATAGCTGGAGGACATCATCTGTGATCCTCTCATTTAAAGGCTTATCAATGTGAATGCTCCTCCACAATAAAGGATCATTTTTGACAGTAGAACACAATGATTTACACACCATTTGAACTGATAAAAGATCCTTCACTCCAAGATAATTTAAAGCATATGACAAACCTTCGTGGGGAGCTTCTCCCTTGTCATCAGAAGGGCATGCCAAATCCTTCTCTTGAATCCATGGCACAAAATCATTACTATACCCATTGTTAAAGCCAATGTCTCTTGTACTGCAAGTTGATGATGTACCAAACTGGGGCAGTTCATCTCCCACAGCCCTCTCGTGTGATGGATTCATACAACTAGATACATTCAACTTGTAATGTGACTGAATATTGGAAGGGAATTGCTGAAATCTCATGGCATTGTTCCAGATCAAAAAGCTATAATCTTCCTTAATTGGCCCAACAATATCTCTCTGTGATCCTCCACAATCTATCTCCAAGTCCTTAAGCCAACCAGTAAGAGCTGTAACAGTGGTTCTTATGGCCATCTCAATCGGATATGTGCTTACGCCCATCTCAAATGGGTCGGAAGGCAGAAGGTCAATGATATCCTTAGATGCCGATTCTGGCAATCCGCAGCTATCAACTCTCTCCCTCCCATACTCAAACCACTCCTCTGACTCCCCACTCGTATGTCTTGGCCAAATAAAACCCTCCCCAGTTTTATCCGGAATGCCCTCCACAAGATACCCATTCACAATCCTCATTGGGGACACCAAATTATCCTCAGATATATGAGCAGGAAATATGGGCCTATGTGAATAGTTCAAGGCCATTTTCAAATCTATATAGAACTCTAGATCTCAGGTCTACTTTTCGGATTAAACCCAAAGGAAAAGTTGGAAAAAATATAAAATAGAGCAGATTAACACAAATTTTTTTTGGGTATCTCTCCCCCTAGCTCTCCCTCTCTCTAATTTTTATTTTTTAAAAAACAAAAAATTTCCTTTTTTTTTTTATGTGTAAGATTCAATAGGAAAACTCTCAATTTTGGATGACAATAAAACAACGCACCTAAAATCTCACAGAGTTTCTCGTGACGAACCCTAAGTTTCTCAGCATCTGAATCGAATAAGCAACGAAAAAACACCGTATTTTTTCAAAAAATGCCGTAGCTATACAATAATCCGAAGCAGCGAATCTTTTCCCCTCAATGTCCATAGAAAGAAACAAAAAGCAGATGATATATATTGACAAAAACAAAAAAAAAAAAACAAATTTAAAAAAAAAAAAAAAAAAAAAAAAAAAAGATAAAAACGAACGATGGAGGAATGATAGGCGATAACCTGAATGAGAATAGAAAACCCCTAATTCAAAATCAAGAGAGGGAAGCTGAAGACTTTTCCTTGAGGCGGGTTACGGCATCCGAAACTTCAACCGAACTCAATTGGCTCCGAATTAATCAGAAGATCTGAAATCTGCCATAGCTCATGGAGTTTCTTCAAGAGAGCGAGATGGGAAAAGAGAGACGAAATCTAGCCTAGAGAGAAAGGGGACGAGAGAGAGAGAGATAGAGAGAGAAAGAGAGAGAGAGAGGGGTGACACAGAGTAAAATGTGGGGTCTGGAGGGACGGGGTTGAAAATATTGGGAACTTGTGAGCAGAAATTTCATGCAAGGTGCAGATTTACCGCTTGCTTTGCGGTAAAATTCGTGGCGGGAGGGGATAACAATATAACATCAAACCCCCTTCTCGGGAGAATTTACCGATTGTAATTTGTAAAATTCTAGAAGCAAAAATGTTACTCTTTTCTCACTAAAATTTATTGTATTACGGAGTATTCACTATCTCTACTCGTTTTTGAATTCTCAAACTCAAGGGTCCCACGTCTCAACTTGACAAAATATTTTAGGATAATGTAATTCACGGTAATTCACTGACGCAGTAAACAGAACCAAATATTTCTACCCACAAAGATATATTAGTGCGATATTTGAACATTGATATCTTCTTTCAAATACTGTTTACTGATTAAGCTCGTGCGACATTATATTCACTATTTGATCTCATGACATTAATTAAAAAATATACTATGTTCTCAAAAAAAATTAAAAAAGATATTATTCGTTACTCCACTGTTAATAAAAACTATATGTAATAATTTAGTATAAAAATGTATTTTAATAAAACAATAATAGTTCACATAGTGATTAGAGTTAATTCTAAATTTAGTTATCTGCTCAAACTTTTCTTTATCTGAACGGTTAGGAGAAATTAGAATGTTAGAATAAGAAATGAAAAACAATTGGTGTTATGATCATGATTTTTCAAATTTATTTTCTATGTTAACGATGGGATAATAAATGAAAATGATTCAATACATAAAAACTAAATTTGGTAATTTTAAACGTCAATAACTAAAATAAAAAAATAAATGATATAGTTAAATAATTAAATTCAAAATTAACTATAGGGATTAATATAGATTGATTTTAATACTTTTTTTTGAAAGCCAAATGAATCAGATTGCATTAGCCACAACGAGCTCAATAAAAGACGGAGGTATATCCCTCCAAAGTGATCGTCCTGCTATCGCAGTTACATGCTTAGATAAGGAGTGCGCCACATGATTGGCATCCCTATTAATAAAACTAACAAATGTTCCAGGCAAAGCACTAATTAAACGATTACAAGACAATAGAATATAACCAAAATAAGTGCGAAACGAACTAGCTTAATTAAGACCTGAAACCAAAACTGATGAGTCCGTGTAAATTCTGCCGCCTGAATACCCGTTATCCTTCAACCAAGAGAGGGCTTCACTCATCGCCATTGCTTTCGCTAGAAGAGGATCATACGAACACGCCAAAGGTCCATTTGCCACCGCCAAAAAGGAGGAGTCACCATCCAAAACCACAAAGCCATATGCAGTCGCGTGATGTGAGCCGTGGAAGCCAGCGTCCACGTAATAATGGAACGTTACTGCTGCATGGGGGGGCTGAGAAGAAGCTGCCGCGGTGTGCCTACTGCATGCACCAACCCGCCGCTGCTCGCATTCCATCCAAGACGTCCAGGACGCCGCATGGCGCCGAAGAAGCAAATGTGGTGCCGGCAAGCTACCCTCCCAAACCGCCGAGTTCCTAGCGGCCCAAAGGGCATGGAGCAAACCACAAATTTGTCCTTGTATATCACGAGTAAAACCTATTGCACCACCAAGCCACTCCTCCGTCCACTGCATGAAACTCCTGTTGGCAAAAGAGGGGATTGGAATTTGAGACGTATGCCAAACATTGATAGCATATGGGCACGAACATAAAATATGCATAACACACTCCTCATATAAACCACATGACGGGTAAATATTAATTAGGTCCACCCTCCTATTTATCAAATTATCAAGCGAGGACAATATATTCGAGAGGGCTCTCCATAGAAAAACCTTCCACCTTAGGGGGAACCTGCAACTTCCAGACATTATTCCACACAGAAGAAGGCTGTGAATTTATAAAACCCAACCTCCTATAACCATCCTTAACCGAGTAGCACCCCCTTAAATCCCCTTCCCAGTACCACATATCCTCATAACCCATACTTACAGGCAGCAGCGATATAAGCATTGCATCTCGCGGATTAAAAACCTGATGTAAATAATCTCCATTCCAACTACCCGTGTGGGCACCAATCAGATCCGAGACTAACATTGATTGGCCATTATTCACCTGTTCAGATTCAACATATGGGTTTTGATCATCTGGTAGCCAAGGGATAGTCCAAACTAGAGTAGATTTACCATTGCCAATTCTACGCCCGCAACCGGACTTTAACAAATCCTGACTGACCATAATGCTCCTCCACACGTAACTAGGATTACCCTCCAAAACAGCCACATAAAAAGAAGTAGTCGGGAAGTACCTTGCCTTAAAAACCCAAGCCATTAAGGAGCCGGGGTTAGTAAGCCGCCGCCATCCTTGCTTGCCCAACAGGGCTAGGTTAAACTCATGCAAACGCTTAAAACCCATTCCTCCAAACTTTTTAAGTTTACACATCCTATCCCAGGCTAACCAATGTATGCTACTGTCCTCACCATTCCGCCCCCACCAATACCTGTTCATTAGCCTCTCCAAAGAAACACATAAAGAAACCGGGAGCAGGAAAATACTCATAGTATAAGTCGGCATAGCTTGTGCTACACTCTTCAAAAGAACCTCCTTACCTGCCTTGGACAGTAACCTTTTATTCCACGATCCAAACCTCTGCCTCAGCTTTTGCTCAACATAAGCAAAAACCGCCCTCCTGTTCCTGCCAACAACAGAAGGCAACCCTAGGTACTTCCCAAAATCATCAGCTTGTGTAACTGCCAAGGACCCCGAAATGAGTTCCCGTGTCCCCACGTGTGTATTGCGGCTAAAAGAGACACTGGACTTATGAAAATTAACCGCCTGGCCAGAGAAAGACTCATAAACACTCAGACACTTCTTCACCTCCAATGTTTCCTGCAGGTTGGCTTTAAAGAAGAGCAGACTGTCATCTGCAAAAAACAAATGCGAAATGGGCGGTGCCCCCCAGGCCACCCTGCAACCATGAATAAGACCCTTAGCCTGAGAATCCTGTAAAAGCAAAGATAACCCTTCCGCACAAATGATAAACAAGTAAGGAGACAAGGGGTCCTCCTGCCGTAACCCCCTTGTAGGCACAATCTCCTCCGTAGGCCTACCATTTACCAAAACTCTGTACCGCACTGTTTGGACACACATCATAACCAACTGAACCCATTTTGCATCAAAACCCAAACCCATTAGCATATCCCTCACAAAAGACCACTCCATCCTATCATACGCCTTGGCCATATCAAGCTTTAACGCGGCCCACCCCACCTGCCCTAGCTGTTTCCTTCTCAAGTAATGGCCAACCTCAGAGGCAATTAAAATATTGTCCGAGATTAACCTACCTGGGAGAAATGCACTTTGTGACTCCGAAATAATGCCTTCTAACAAAGGCTTCATACGATTTGCTACCATCTTAGCCATAACCTTATACAACACATTGCACAAAGCAATTGGTCGTAGATCAGACACATGCTCAGGGACACATTTCTTAGGGATCAAGACAATATTTGCATCATTCAAACATACAGGGAAAGATGACTGAGAGAGACAATTAAGCACAAAAGAAGTGACATCCTTACCAATAACATCCCAGAAAGATTGGTAAAAACCAGGGTTCATGCCATCTGGACCAGGAGATTTATCTTTGCCCATAGAGAATAATGCACTTCGGACCTCCTCTGGCTCAAACGGACGCAACATATGAGCATTCTGGCCTTCAGTCACACGCGGCTGCATAGAATCAACACTGAAAGGCCCTGGAGTCCCCCCAGAAGCAAAAATATGCTTATAATATGTGGTGACCAGAGAATCCAAGGCTTGACCCTCCTTCCAGACCCCATTATCATCTTTCAACTTCTCAATTACATTCTTCTTCCTCCGGTGTGATGCGAATTTATGAAAGAACTTGGTATTCCGATCTGCCCCCTGAAGCCAGTGCTGCTTAGCACTGTGATACCCGGCTTTTCTAACCTTTCTAAAATTAGAAAGTCTTACTTTTCAAAATTATTAGTTCTTTCTGATCGAAACATCTTGATTGAGCGATTGGAGAATCTCATCTCTATTATATTTGTCGTTATAAATAAAAATAATATTTTTGTTATAAGTAGTTATGTATTAATTTGAACTACAAAATAATTATTTTTGGACCGTATGATTTTATATACATTTGAATATAAAATGTATTTTATAACATGTTTACTACATATATAATTATGTGCGTATGGTATATGTACATAAATTTAGTAAGTAAATTAACTAAGTATGTATGTGTATAGATATATATAAATATTGTTATTAGTAGATACTAGTATTTGCGCCCGTGCGTTGCACGGAATGAATTTGTTATAATATTTTAAAAATATTTAGATCGATATACAATTGTATAAATTATAACATCAAATATTATATAATATAATTGAAGAATTGAGTTGCACCGATTATGTTTTCTGATGTTATCAATACTTGAATTCGAGTAAATAATTGCCCAATTAATAGTTAACGTGTAGATATACGCATTCGGTGCTGCAACTTTAGAGATTTTATATATCAGTGTTTAGAATTTGTATTAATTGGGCTAATTAGCTCGTTGTCTAGCAACTCAGTTATAGAAATTATTTATACGGAAGATATATTTTCTATGTAGATATATAGCAA